AAGTTTAAAATACATTATTTTAATTAATTCTTTTAATTAAATGTCCACGAGCAGAACACTTTGTATTAATATTATATACGTAATGTATAGTTACATAAATATTACTAATATGTTTTCACATATACGTGACGATGGAACATTTTTTTAACGTTTCTGCATAGTAATATACAGTCCGTTATGATAATTAAATAGATTGCTAAATTCATGGAGTATTCTAAGAAACGCGGGCATTCTGCAGTTTTCCAAGAATGTAACTTGAAATTGTTCCGGGACATGAGAGCATTCACCAGCGAGATAAACGGTGCGCGGAACGGTGTTATCGTCGCCTGCGACGGAGTATGAAAAGGCAGCATCGCGAAGGCGACACATGTGTACCAGCGTGGGTACACCGGCGCTGTATGCAAAAGCACGGGGCCGATAAAATCAAATCCCGCGTACGTACCCCGGTACGTGACTGACAGGTCGGCTTCGTCACCGGGACTCGAGAGATAAAAGCTAGAGCGCATAACGAGGTGCCTGTGAGAGTGGAAGGCTCGCGAAGAACCACCGTGGAACCGAACGTGAGCACGCCGCGACACGTACACGCGGTTGTTTTACCAAATGCGGTACCATTTTCCTATTATTTTCCTGTTATTTTCATTATTTTCCGCGTCTTGTACACGCCATCGCGTTACTTCCAACGTCTCCTTTTCACACAGTCACGCAGACAATATTTTTGCGTAAAAACTGAAGATTTCGATGAGTCGTTTCAACGTTTTTCACAGTCGTGATTTTTTTTAACTACGATAATATTTTCCTTTCCACTATTACAAAATCATCATGAGAATAATTAAGATTCTAATTGAAATGTTGTTATTGAAATATTTTAATTAAAAACGTTTTTCATAGTCGTGATTTTTTTAAACTGTATGTTCTCATTTCTACTTTGACAATAAATTGTTATAAAAATAATTAAAATTATAATTAAAATGCTGTCATTTGGATATTGTAAGTGAAATAATGAAACAATACGATAATGATTTCAAAATCTTACTTTTACAATTATAAAGAAAATTGTCATAAAAAAATTGTCATAAAAAATTCTAATTATAATGGAATGCTGTCATTTAAATATTTTAAGTGAAAATAAACTTCGAAATTCGTAAAGTGGATGATTAGGAAAAGTTATATCGTAAGATACGAAACGAAAGACAAAGGATATGTATAATTCGCGCACTTATATTCGCGGAATGTGGCGTTACCGTGACAGATACAATAGGATGAGCCTCGGAGCGACACATGTTTTGTTATCTCAGTATTCGAAAACCGTTGGAGACATTAAGTAACATTGTTTAACCAGGGCAACGGTAGATATATGTATAGCGGTGGAGACGACGCACAAAAATAGCATCGAAAGCGAATCGTGGCGAGTTCAAGAGCGAAGGCCTCGGCTTATTGAGCGAAGAGAGACAGACTCGGAGAGAGGAAGACAATAGGTCGAATGTAAATGTAAGAACGTGAGACCCATCCTTATTATCTCCGTTTATACACGACGATTTAAACAGAAAGTGATCTCCTCGTCCTCATGTTAATTCAACTGCTGAGGTCTCTCCCGACAGTCCTGTATACGCGATCTTTTTTAACAATTGTTACTAATAAAAAAAAAAAACCATCTTTCTCTACATTCATTGGTAACCGTCATGGTCAGCCATTTTTTAAGTATACATATCAAA